AGTGAAGTGAATGAAACGTTGAATTTGTTTTAGAATGAATAATTACCAATCAATGTAAATTTTAAAAATATCATGTTAATATTTTTTGCATATTCAGGGTCGTTTCCAATATTTAAATAGTTAAGAAACGCTCGATCTTGAAAATAGTCTTTTTGAGCTAAATCTTTTACATCAAATCAGTAAAAGATATATAAAAAATATATATTATAATCCTAATAATTTCACAAATCATGTAAATATCATGGATTTGCTAAACATTGAATAAATACTAATTCTATTTGAAAACGTCTTTTATTTTGCTCTTCTGTATCTAATAATGAACAATTTCACCTTTTTTTTTCTGTTGAAATTGTTTGTTCAGACATTTTTTAGATAGATTTAATAAGGAAAGGTTTATTAAAGTAACACGAATGTTATACTAGATTAAAAAAATTTTTTAAAAAAATTTAATTTAATTTCAAGGGATTATGTTTTCAAGATTTTCGAGTCAAACTGCAAAAAAAACTATTAAGCAGTGGGTTAAGGTCACCCCTAAACGGGTTAGCAAACATATATAATATATTTCTTTTCATATAGGGGTTTTTTTTCAGTTAAATAATTAAAATTCTGGATGAATAGACACGGAATATAACGGGTACTTCTACTACATCTAAGTCGGTTCGTATTTATACAATGAAAACTTTATTTTTTGAAGTCTAGGTAGTTACTGTTAATTGTAACAATGTTCTATGCATTCGGAACGAAAAAATTTCAAAATAATATTAATTATTACGGATATTATGCAAAAAAAATTTTCAAGGAAAATCGTTGTGAAAATTTAATAATTTTGAATTTTCTTTTTTTTTATATAAACGAAAATCTCTTATTTTAACTTATATTTAATAATATCGCTATGATAAATAATTAAATAAATAAAGTCAGAGATAAAACACCTTTTAATTTAATCATTATTGTTGCTTGTTTATTATTCTAATCATTATTTATGTATATAGGTAAAGGAAAATTTTAATA